AGCACCCCAATTCTGGTCTGCTTTGCAGTGACCCAGGGTACAAGTCCCGAGTGAGTGTTCCCAGCATTTGCAACGTGCTTGCCAGGAATTGTGTAAGTGGTGTCCTCTTCCACTTACAAAATGTCAATGCTATCTTTTTCCAGGGAATGAATAGAAGCAAATGGTCTTCAGCAGGAAAGGAAGAATGAAATGAGCATCCCACTCTGCCCAGTGAAGACCGTTCTTCAGCATCACTGATACTGCCTGGGTTCATGGATTTTAGACTATGCTTCTATTCAGCAGAAATTGGTGGTCTGTGTGTACTGGGTACTACAGCAACCCTTTGGGATAGAAAGCATGCCTTTTCCATGCCATTCGCGGCAGCTGCTTGTCCTGCAGTTGATGCAGAAGAAGGTTGCTGCTTGTGCAACCTTCCTTGCATGAACGGTCATGGACTTCCTCTTGGCTCCACTCCCTTGCAAGACTGGTCCAAGCAGGAGAGGAAGGCAGCAAATGCTAGAGGGTTGAGTTCGCTAGGTTTTGCCCTAGCCAGCTCTCTTCCAAGTTTTCTAGGGCACACACAGGAGCATGGGCTCCTAATGAAGAGGAGAAAGGGCCAGGCATCGAAGGCTCTAGAGTTAGAGTTGCCATGAAAAGGGAGACCTAGCGATCATATAGGACCATTTCATCCTCTGGGATTCTTTTCCATGGAAGCAGAAAGTCTGCAGACCTTTTCCTTGATGCTCCTTCTATTCATTACCAGGCCATGCCTCGTTCCAGGTGCGTTGAGAGTTGTCACCCGGGAAGTGCCAAGAAGATCCGGGAAGGTGAGCTGCCTTGCTGTTATGCTTGTGTTCCATGTGGAGAGGGGACCATCTCCTCGCAGGAAGGTAAGTGGCCTCAGAAGATAGGCTGTTCCTTTTGAGATACAGGCAAATACTTGAATCAGCTCAAGTTTGTACAAATCAACAGAGCATCTCTTAGATCTCACATCAAATGGGGAAGGGACCAGAGTGAGGGCGTTTTTGGTTTTGGCTACTAATGGACTCCCCTACCTCCCTGTGAAAGTATTTAGGCATCAGTGGAGAAGGCTTTAAAGAAACATTCATTTTCCTGAATCTGCTCTGAATAAGTGTGTCAAGCATTCTGCTGAATCTCTTTACTTTCTTTGATATCCTTTGTGTTTATCTAAAATGTACATTTTATGCATTTCACCAATCTGCTCTCATCCTGATGATTTTTTTTTCTCATGGGAGTGATCCCAAGCATTGAAAATAAAAAATGATCCTCTCAAAGATTCCCAATGAAGGTTTTAAGGCTTCATTCTTTGTTTACCCATTAGGCTTTCACACTGGCCTTTTTCAGGAAAAACCTCAAGATGGCATTATTCTTCCCTTTCTGAGTGTGGGTTTAGTTGTAAGATGGACTCTCTCTTTAAACAGGCGTGTGGGAACCATGAGTTCCTGCTGCATTTCATTCCCCCACCCCACTGGACTTCAGATCCCAGTTGTATGTAAAGGATTGAGCCTGAGGGATTTTGTTCCTTGGCTATGCTCATGGATTCAGCTGATCATGTGAATGTTAGATGATTAGCTGGAAAGATGGGAAAATGAGAGAGAGAGAGAGAGAGAGAGAGAGAGAGAGAGAGAGAATCAGTAATGACATTCAGCTTCTTTCTGCGTGGCTATTTAATTCTCTTGTGAGCTCTTCCTTTGGAAGCTCTTTACACTCTGTACCATGAATTGCATCTCACTGCCATAAGCATCCTTGTTTTACTATACCTTTCTGGAAAAATGTCCAAAGGGCTTCCTCATCCACCTTTCTGGCAAGATATGATTAGCTTTGAACCACACCTTTAGGAACATAATGTCTTACATGAAATTCCCTAGGGAAACCTAGAATGATAATTTTCCAGACCTGTGTATCAAGGTTTTGAAGTACATACTTGACACAGTGATCATTCCCCAATACTTGAGAAATGGCTCAATCACACATTTAAATACACTTTTTGAGCTGGAATACAACAGTCTCACTTGGGGGATGTGGGATAGAAATACTCCTGTGTTCTCAGCAACAGTCCTTTCAAGTCAGCATGTTTTCAGTGAATACCATCCAGGTCATTGTGACAACTATTTTTCATGCTAATCATACACAATCCTTTATGAATATAGCTGTGACTTTGAGCATCTTTAATGCAGTTGCTTACTTTCCCCATTCAGCATTTGACATTTGCATATTAAAATAAGACATCTCAGATTGTTTTAAGAAAGGTAGGTTTATGCTTTCACAATAATCATCCCACCTAATTCAATAAAGTAAAATGAAGAATTCCCGCCCCCTTCCCCCAAGAGAGAGAGAGAGAACAGAAACTGTTCTGGATGTGTGATTGCTGTCATTGTTGCTGATGTCATTCTCTGTTTCAGATGTGGAGCACTGTAGAAAGTGTCCAGAAGAGCAGCATCCAAACAAGCACCGAGATCAATGCGTGCCCAAGATAGTAAACTTCCTGTCATATGAAGAACCTTTGGGGATCATCCTGGCTTCCTTTGCACTAAGCTTGTCCGTAATGACAGGCTGCATATTAGGAATCTTCATGAAATGCCTGGAAACACCACTAGTCAAAGCCAACAACCGGGACCTCTCCTATGTTCTCCTGGTCTCCCTCCTCCTGTCTTTTTCATCCTCCTTCTTGTTCATTGGCCAGCCAAGCAAAGTGACCTGCCTGCTCCGACAAACAGCCTTCAGCATCATCTTCTCAGTGGCTGTTTCTTCAGTGCTGGCCAAAACCATCACTGTGGTGCTGGCCTTCCTGGCTACTAAGCCAGGGAACAAGGTGAAGAGGTGGCTTGGGAAGATTCTGGCCAACTCCATTGTCTTTTCCTGTTCCAGTGTCCAACTGGTCATCTGCTCCATCTGGCTGAGCATGGCTCCCCCTTTCCCTGATCCGGACATGCACTCCCAAGCTGAACAGATCATCCTACAGTGCAATGAAGGGTCTGTCACATGGTTTTACAGTGCCCTTGGCTACATGGGCTTCCTGGCTGCCATCTGCTTCACAGTGGCCTTCCTGGCCAGGAAGCTGCCTGGGGCCTTCAACGAGGCCAAGCTGATCACCTTCAGCATGCTGGTTTTCTTCAGTGTCTGGGTGTCCTTTGTGCCCTCCTACCTGAGCACCAAGGGCAAGTACATGGTGGCGGTGCAGGTCTTCTCCATCTTGGTCTCCAGTGCGGGGCTGCTGGGCTGCATCTTCATTCCCAAGTGTTACATTATTGTACTGAGACCTGACCTGAATACAAAGGAGCACCTCATGATGAAAACTCAGCTTGGCATCTGTTCCTGAGTACTGGAGATGGTTTACAGTTCTGAGTCAGAGTCAGAACCATAGTGTGCAGGCAAAATAGAAACATGAAGGAGATCTAACAACTTTTCCGTTCTTTTATATTGTAAGCTAAGATTAAAATGGTGCATTTTGTTGACCCATAGTAACTTCTCCAAAAATGTTGTGGCTTAATAGGTTCTAGTTAGATCTTGGGTTGCTCCAGAAACATGGAACCAAATGGCATGATCCAAGCTCTTCCTCCCCTTCATTGGACCAGAGCCTCTCGAAAGGAGGGAGCTGCTGCCCTGATTCCCCACATTCTGGCTGCATCAGCACCACTGCAGGGGGCTCAGTCTCTGGCTCAGCAGGCATCAGATGGCCAAGAAACCAGCATTTCCTCTAAAGCAGGTGCTGCTCTAGAACTGGAGCAGTTACTGCATACTGAGTCACTGACTCTCTTGGTTAAGCGGCAGGAGGACTAGATGATTCCTGCAGGGCCTCTCCAAGCACACTTGCCCCAATGTGTGGTGCCTCTCAGGCACGTTTCTCAAAGGAATCCCCGATGTAGAGAGGGGAAGGCAGGCAGGCCAAGATCTGCTCAGGTCTTGCTGTGGCTGGAATCAGGGCTGGCACATGCCTTCTCCCATTCACTGCCCTGTGAGACAGAGGCCTGCAGTATCTTATTTCAAATGCTGTGTTTCTTTCCTCCTTTCTTTGAATGTCCAGTCACCTCACCTGTGAAACACCTTGGTGAGTATGTCTGAAAGCCCAAGGGTAACAATTAGAATGCATCAGATGTGTCTCTGTCACTGAGCAATTCTTTGGTTTCCCAGGTTCCTGATGAAGAAATATTCCACATTACATGTACTTTCAAAGAGCGGATAGCTTTGCAAATTCTTTGGATTGTGTTGAAGGCCACCAAGGAATGCCCTGCAGAACTCAAAGGAATATTTGAAATGGGGTTAAGTAAAATGAAAATAATCTGGACAGCATCTATGGCAGACTTGCATGTTGCCTCCTCCCTTCTGAGCTCATCCAGAGATAATCACCACTTTGATTAATGATGGTTCTGAGAGTCAAAGACTTCCACAGAGTTCTGCTCTAAGAATATGACTTTACTTGAAAGAGACGTTTTCTTTCTTACATTCTCAAAAAGAAAATCCTGAGGATAATTCTGAATACTGTTGAAGTCTGTATCTGGCATTCTGAATATTTGCAGAGTTAAAGAAATTTTCACTTTATGGGCTAAACATATCTTTGTTCATGGAATGGACAGTTCCCAAACCAAGCATCACACTTGCTGTGGGCACAGAACACAACACACAACCCTGCATGTTTACCATAGTTCATAGTTTTATTAATTTATTTATACATAAATGTGTTTATAGCCCCCCCCACCTCCCAGAACTTCCCAGGTCTTCTTAGGCATCCTGATCAGGTGGTTTTCTGCCTTGATTTACCAGTTCTACCATCAGACAATCTATTGGGTATTATGTTATATTTACAGACAAGCAGCCTTTTGTGGGCATCATAGTTTATTTTTTTCTCCCCCAGTGTTCTATTTCTGAACAAACAGCAGGCATCTTCTTTACCATGGTTCCCATCCCTGTGTAGTCTTCCCACAGTCGGCGTGTATGTAATCAGCTGCCACACCTGAAATGCAATCCCAAGGTGCCTCACTCACCAAGGCTGTGCAAGGAGTCTTTTCTGGGGAGAGAATAGGTGAGATTCCCTAGGCATGGCATCCTGGTCTCCAGTTGGCTCTCCAGTGGCCCCAAGCCTCAGTTCCTAGTGAGCCCAGCCAGGATTCAGAGGGCATGTGCCTGGAATCAAATTCTATGCACAGCATTCCCATTCTGTGCCACCCACAGGAACCATGTCCACAACTGCATCCTAGGAAGAGGAAGCTGTTCACAGGCAGGGAGCCCCATGGAACCATGAGGAGCCTTCCCTCTGCCAGGCCATCTGCAGCAGCTCATTGAGCTATGGCATCCAACATGGGGGAAGGTTTCCAGTTGTTCAGCCTTTGTTCTGCATGTGCCTGCAGACCTCCTCTCTGCTGGGCCTGCTTTCTAAGTCCAGGCCCAGCATGAGAGGATGGGTTCCACACTGGCTCCTCTGAACCCTGCTACTCCCTGACTAAGTCTCCTGCTTTTCTCTCATTGGTCTGCACACAGAGGTTGTGCCTCAAGCCACATTTTTAAATCATATTTTTATCCCTCTTTCTTCTTATAGAAAACTCAAAGTGGCTGAAATCAGTTCCTCCTTCTGTTCTCAATCTTATCCCTACAAAAACCCTCTGAGGTAGGTAGGGCTGAGGGTTTGTGACTGGTCTATGCCATGACCATGTAGAGACTAGAACCCAGATCACCTGAGTCCCAGTCCCCCATGCTTAACCAGTACACCATACTGGGCCTCCACACAAGGAGAGTCCATGAAGTTTAAGAACTGATGTTTCTGCTATCTGTGTAAAAGCACAGTGGATCCTTCTGATCCTCAGCAAAGCTCAAGGGATGCTCATTTGCTCAAGATTTCCTTTGAGAAAAAGGACAGAAATCTTCAAAGGCAACATTGGGAAACCTCACCCACAACTGGAGTATTGTTTTCAGTTTTAGGCCCCTCATTACAGGAAGGATATAGCTAGGTTTGTGTCAGTGCAGTGTAGGGCCACAAGGTTGGTGGCCGGTTTGCAGGGGATGCCATATTAGGCAAGACTGAGGGAACTGGGTCCCTTCAGCCTGCAGAAGAGGAGACTCGGAGGGAATCTGTTGGCAACATCCAGTTATGCGAGGGGATGTCACACAGAGATGGGTAGAGACCTGTTCTCTCCTGCAGAGAAGGGCAGGATGCGCTCCAACAGAGTGAAGCTCAGGGATCCAAGGTTCAATTTAGATGCCAGGAAGTACTTCCTGACAGTTAGGCCCCTGAGGGTGTGGAATGAGCTCCCACGGGAGGTGGTTGAGGCCCCATCAGTGAGGGTGTTCAAAGTTAGACTAGACATGCACATGGTGGGCAAGTCATGAGCGGAGCCGTCTGGAGTCAGGGGTCAGATTAGATGGACTGGGAGGCCCCTTCTGACTTGCTCTGTTTCTCTGTTTCTCTGTTTCTATGTCTCTGATGAGCTTACAGGGTAACATAATTGAGACCACGTGCTGCTCAGAGCTTGGGCTGAGATTTTGGGCATGTTGGGATGGCCATGTCTGTGGAACAGCTGAGTAAACAAACCTCTCTCATCTGCTCTCAGCTCATTGCATATTGATAGGCCGTGCAACCTCATCCTTGCAAGAGTTCCAGCTTATTCGGTTTATCTGGCCACAGAGGAGAGAAGAGCAGCCATGAAGGAGGGGCAAGAAACAGACCCTGAATGATACTCTGTTTTTTCTACTTCCACTTATGCTGAAGCTCCAGGCAGGCTGTGAATTCTGAAGGGAAGGTGTACTGTTACTTGAATGCTGGAAGAGTCCCTGAAGACTGACCTTGGGCTTCTTCACTGAAGGAGTCCCAGTCTTTTATGTATGAAGGTTCTTGCATCTTTTCCAAGTCCTTTCAAACTAGTTTTCATCAGTGAGTTGTGATGATCTCCCGCTTTTCAACCTGAACTCTCCTTATCCCCATATTCTGAAGATGATCTGTAGATGATCTGCACTGAGCACGATGAAAATTGTGATGGCAGGAAGTGATCCCTGGATGATTTTCCATATTCATTTATTTCATTTTTGTAACAATCCAATAGAAAAAGTATTTGGGTAGTTTGCCACAGTTGAAGGGACAAAAATTTGCAGAAAGGAAAAAATAGTAAATGTGAACATTCCAATTCAATGACAGAGTCAAACCTAAGTCATTGCCAAGTTACTAAACAGCAGTGTCATGCTTCAAACAATGAAAGCTGAAAACTTTCACATGCCTAGAAGAATACCAACATCTCATGCATTGAAAAGTCACAAGAAAGTGGCCAGGTGAGCCTGTCTAACAGGCGCAGGATAGCGTTAGGCTGAAGCACAACAGCGAGAGCTCTTTTTCGTTGAGGTGATTAGAAAAGGTGGAATGCAAGCTTGGTTCAACAATCAAGGTGCTCCATCAATGTTTGGGCTTTTGTCCCATTGAAGTCCTCATCTGGTAAGCCTGAGTTTCTGGTCCCCACTCAGCAATGAACCTGCCGAGGTGATCTTTGGCCAATCACAAACTCCCAGATATATCTATGTCACAATAGCTGTGAGAACAACCTCATGGGTCACCTTGGCTCCCACTCAAGAGGAAGAGCAGTGAGAAACAAATGCAATAACAAGAAGAGCAATAATATTAGGAGGCAGAATTAATGTTCAGGAGTCTGCTGAAAAGAGAGATGTGGAAATGTTGCATAGTTTATTTTATGAATTCATTTAATATAACAATCCAGTGACCAAAACTCTGGCTGATTCAAACAGTTAATTTGATAAAAATATAAAAAGAGGAAAAATATGAAGCATTCACAAAAGAGCATTATTGCAAGGATCTTTATGTGCAGTGAAAAGTTTAAAAGAATGAAAGTTGAACAACTGCAAATGCCTAGAGGAATGCATGAATCTTCAAATGGCACTAAAATTTCAAAAAGACGTTGGCCAGGTGGGATTCTCTAGGGGGTGCATGCCACCCCCTGAGGTCCGCTGCTAAAATGATCATCCTGTTAGTAGATATCCAGGGTCCCACTCCCAGGGTAAACAAACAAATCAAATGGCAACCTTGTGTTTGATCATGAGATGTTCCTTTGTATTCAGATCAGGCCTCAGGACAATGATGTAGCACTTGGGCAGAAAGATGCATCCCAACAGCCCAGCACTGGAGGCCAAGATAGAGAAGACCTGCACGGCCACCATGTACTCCACCTTGGTGCTCAGGTAGGAGGGTACGAAGGACATCCAGACGCTGCAGAAGACCAGCATGCTGAATGTGATCAGCTTGGCCTCCTTGAAAGCCCCAGGCAGCTATCTGGCCAGGAAGGCCACTGTGAAGCAGACGGCAGCCAGGAACCCCATGTAGCCCAG